GCGACTGAACTTAATTCTGTGACGGTAGCCTGGACACCGGCGGCCCTGTGCTTCCCCCCGCCTGACTTACTGGCCCCCAGCCCCCAGCCCCCTTCCTCCAGCTGAGGACGGGCGGTTCATGGCTCTCTGCTGAGGTCCGGTCCAGTCAGCGAGCCATCAATCCACACTTCAAGTGTCCTCTTTGGAAATCCAAATCTGGTCACCATGATATGCTAGCATTGCTATCAATAGAATCATATTTCCAGCTAGCGGTTGTGATGGCCTTACGGTGGTAACAGCCCCTCGTTTCAGTAAAATAAGTTTAGCAAATCCTGCTTTGAACTGTCCAAGATCTTGAAAGCTGTCTTCGGTAAAATGCTTCTATCAAATGAACAGCTGAGCATCAAACTTTGCAGGGATCTTCTGATCCATAAAATTAATCCATGCCTGTTGAGTCTTCCGAACCTTAGGAAGACGGTGGAAATGTTCCCCTTTCTCCGTGCAGCCTGGAACGCTGCATTTCCACCAGTGGTTCTGGCTCATTTTCAATAGAGAAACTGCCTGCTTTATAATTCTTGTAGAAGTAAACCCAACTGTAGGCTAAACAGCTAAACTGCTGTCTTCCATCTACCTCTATTCATGTTCTTGGGCCGTGATCCAGTAAATTCTGGGGCGTGACAAAACTAAAGGCCAGAACCAAATAAGGCAACATCCCCAATTTACATCAACTCGGTGCTTCGTTTTAATTCACTTGTTTTATGGTGGAAGTTTAGAATAGCGAGATTTGCAGAGAAAGGAGGTGTTGATGGGGTTTAAACTTCTCTCTACGTCTATTTCAGGTTTGACGTTCTATGACTACTTTAAAAAACCAAGAGATGCCACCGATAAACCCGTTAGACATACTGAGCTTTTTCAGCTAAAAATAGTAACAGGTTGTAGAGTCATATAGCGTATTTTTCAGGCTATTTGTTACACTTTGTTCTTGGTTTGGCTGGCCATGCGACTTATACTCTGGTGTGACATATATGTTGTTGTTTTTCCACCAACAGGGGGAGCTATGTAGCTTTGCACGCAAAAACATCTATTCTATTACCGGTAATACCACTGAAAAAAAAAACCATTACAACTAACCACAACTAAACAAAAACGATGACTGTATAGAAATATGCCGCCCAAAAGAAGTTCATATACTGCTGAATTCAAGCTGAAAGTAATAGAATATGCAGTTAAAAATGGCAATAGAGCAGCTGAACAACAGTTTGGATGCAATGAAAAACTGGTTAGGGACTGGAGAAAACCAGAGGAAAAGAAAAAAAAAAAAAAAAGCTAACCGAGGTCTAAAGGTAGAATGCCACGTCTAGAGGAGGAGCTGTAGAAACCGATCCTCAGACAATGCGCTGCGGGTCCACACAGATTTCATGGATAGAATAACCTTTCAGAAAGGTGCAAACTTTTAGTCAGGTGCGACATATATATGTTTCTTTTTTTTTTTTCTTCTTCATAATGCATTTTTTGGCTGATGCAAATTAAACAAGCAACACATAGTCCGAAAAATACGGTACGTTAAAAAAGCTGGGCTTCTTAGAGGACCATGACTCCCAGTTACAGATTAAAACTAACACACATCCAGTTACAGATTAAAACTAACACACATCCAGTTACAGATTAAAACTAACACATCCAGTTACAGATTAAAACTAACACATCCAGTTACAGATTAAAACTAACACACAACCAGACTGCAGAGCTTCTAGATATCTGGAAAATGATTTTCTCTGGCATCATTGTAACAGTAGACAGGTTCATTAACAAGCAGGGACAGCTGCAGATTTACCGGGATATGCAACATGTCTTTTTTAATTCAGCAAAACTCGGAAATAGCTGTGCCAGCCAACCCAGAGACAGACAGACTTACAGGACTTAAAATTAAAATCTAAGCAACCTACAAGAATTAAAGCACAAATAATAAAAATCAGTGTACAAATAATTTTTGAAATATAACGTTCAATACATCGACTTTGGCTGTCGACATATGAGACATTTCTAAATGAGATTTTGCTGCTTGTGAAGGAGGATAACCACTGATGGAGCCATGCACCGATGGATAGATGGAATTAAAATATTTTCCACACTAGGGATGCATGCATTGCTGTTGGCATCAGCTGTTAGTTGTCATTTTTTCTACATTAATGTTTTTGAGCCCTTTATAAGTAATGCACTAAAGGCAGACATCTGTCTATAACTATACTGCTGCATCACTGCTTCTACTGAGGAAACTACTTCAGCTTAAAGTGATTTAAATTTTACTGAAGTTTCAGGATGAGCAGATCCTGTGTCACGCTGAAGGAGGGAGACTAATAAACCTCACAGCCTTAAAGACATTAGTGAGGGACAGTTTCGATATTAAATTAAAGTGATGTAGCACATCTACTATGCTAGCTAGAGTGTAAATGATGTCACGCGTAGCATCATGTAATAAAGTGCGCTACCGTCCTATATGCTAATCCAGACCAGATGAAAGAGGCTCTCCCACATTAAATCTTTGCTTTAATTACACTGCTTTACCAGCTGAACTAACCCATTCTGTTCAGTGTCACTATATTTCCATGCATTCACTGTTTTAATTGCATTTACTATCTCTGCATCAGTTATTCACATGTATCTGCTTTTAGACACTTTAAATGCATTAAGCCTTAAAACCTAAACATTCCTCAGAGACTCTTGAACGGACTATTAAGGCCAGGAGACTGAATCCAACTTTGCTTACAATCCAACAGAAAATCGTGCCTCAGAGGTGGTGGCGTTTAGCGCTCATTGAAAGTTAATGAGGAGGATTTCCTGCAGGGGGCAGCGTAGCTCCGACTGAGATAGAGCCCAGGTCTATTTCAGACGGACTACCGTACGCAGTAATTCAGCAGCAATTTCACGGGTCTGACAGGAAGAGATACGCGTTTACAAAGTAAAACACAACTGCTTTGGAGGAAAATACTAAATCAATTCTGTTAATCTGATGGGGAAAGAGTCAGTCATGAGTTGCTCATCGTGTTTATAGCAAGCAGGACAGACTGGAGAAAAAAAAACAATGAATGAAACATTAAAATAGAAAACTTTCCCCATGATAGGAGTTCAGGAGCAGGGGCGGAGCTAGATGGGGGGCCAGGGGTGGCCATGGCCACCCTTAGTCAATCAGTGGCCACCCCTACCATTGATTTCTCTCTAATAGAGATGGTGACAACAATAATAATCTCAAGTGGAATATTCAAAACATTTTAATTTTTTTTAATTACTTGACAACAAAAAAAAAAACTGTGTTTAATTATGCACGTCAATATAGTAAAATTAAAAATGATAAGTACAGAAACAGATATTGTGTTTTATG